CCCGCAGGTGCCCCCGGCGGCCTCACTGTCTGCTGAGCCTGCCGGGCTCAAGGGGGCCGGGGAGGCCGGTGCCCGCCACACCAGAGACCGGCAAGGACGCCCGGCCACGCTCGTCAGGCAGCCCTCCACGGCACACGAGGCGCCCGAGGCGCCCGAGCGCAGGGAGCGGAGCTTCTGCCAAGAGCGGAGCCTGCACCGCGTGGATCCACCGAACAGCGTCCGAAGGCGGCGAGCAGGTCCCGGGGCTCAGGGTACGCACGTGCTGATCCCACCCAGAGCGGGGTCTCCTGCTCACTCCCCCCCCCCCACCCCCCTTTTCCGCGTGGATCCACCGAACAGCGTCCGAAGGCGGCGAGCAGGTCCCGGGGCTCAGGGTACGCACGTGCTGATCCCACCCAGAGCGGGGTCTCCTGCTCACTCCCCCCCCCCACGCCCCTTTTCCTGGCCTCAGGCGCACCCGGCAGGAACGCGCTGACCTCCCGGGCCATTTGCACAACACGCCTGCACTCACTTGGTCCCCAGACAACTACGAGCCCCCTCTTTCCCTGTGCCCTCTGTATGCTTCCAATGACCAGCACTTGGGATTTCTTTGCAAGAGGGTTTGTTGTAAGCCAGGTCCACGTAAGTCTGGGCCCCGGAAGCCAGGTATATATTTCACTGATTCTAAAATGCATACTTTTTCACATTTTAACCTCTCTGTAATTAGGATACATTTTGTGATTGACGGCATCTCATTTCTTGGCAACATGTTAAATTTCTTAAAGATACATAAAATAATATTTCTAACAATCAACACATTTTACATTTGATGAAATACATTAGATGTATTAGCATACAGGATTCTCATACCCCAGAAGAAATGCTCAGAAGAGTTTGTCCCTAGAGGTCTCTCTCTTTCTCTCTCTCTCTCTGCCTGGCTCTCTACAGCCACACACTGTCACCCGAAGCTGGAAGACAGAGGGACAGGTGGGAGGGAGAGAGGGTCCTCCATATCTAGAATAATGGTAGCAGCACATACTTATATGAATGAAGCCCTTTTTCCCCCCAAGACCAAACTTAGGAATCTAAGTCAAGCTCAGTACAGAAATGGATGTACTTATATGGAAATATAAGAAAGGCTGAAAATGTTTCTCTCCCAAAGAAGAGAACATTGCATTAACTTACGGATAAATCTGAAGATTCAAATACATAAGCAAAGCTCCTTTGAGATGCATGACACTAGTTTATATTGTTGTTTCCCATTTAATATATTTTCAGATTCATCTCAATAAACTAACATTTATAAAATTCTGCTTTTGTGCTATGCTCAAAGCTAAATTCAAGGAATAAAAATATTAATCAACACATTTGGTATCCATAAGGTATTCAGATCAGCAACAGAGACGGAAACAAAAATAACTAAAAGACAGGTAATACGTAAACTGTTATAAGACTACAGAAGCAGGAGCAGTTGATTCTTCCTAGAAATTAAGGAAAGATTTTGAGAAAAAGGAGGATATGTAAGCCAGGGCAGAGATGGGCGGAAATAAGGGAGCAAGCAGTGCACAACCTGCACCACTGCACGAGGCTGTTCTGGAAGGTGGGGACCGGCCACAGCAGAAGAGGCTGGTGAGGGGGAATGGAGCTGACAAACAGAGCCTCATGTTCCAGACTCCAGAGTTTAGCCTTTCTCTGTGGGTGAGTTTTTAAAGACAGCAGTTATATGTTAAGATCTGCCTTTCAGAAAGACAATTTCCTAAGGTAAGAAATGGCCTGGAGCAGGGCGAGACCATTAATAGGAAACTCTTAGAATAATACACCTGAGCAGTGATGTAGGCTTGAGTTGTGCATAGGGGAAGGCATGGAGATGGAAGCTCTCAACCAGTATCTGATGAGAAGAGAACGATGGGGCTGTCACCCTCCAGGCTCACTCCCACACCACTCCTGGTTGCTCTTACGTGGAGTCCAGCAGGGTCCCATCCAGAAGTGAGGCATTGTAGTGATACTTGAGGTAATCCCCCTTCTTACTCAGCACTGAGCAGTCAGGAGGCTTGTAGTGGGAGGTGATGCTGATGGAGTCTGTAGGGTTGTGGAAGTCAATCACATGGATGTCAAACACCAGCACAGCTGAGCCAGGGATATTCCCTAAAGGACAGAGGCAGGGAATTAATGAATGAACCCTCCCCGCTGCAGCACACGTGCCTCCCTGCTGTCACCAGTTATGTCCTCACAGCCCTCCAGTGAGGAACACAGGACCCAGATATGAAATCCCAGGGAACACTAGGAGAATAAAGCTGAATCTCATTTTACAGATGGGGAAACAGAGGCACAGATTTGTCCACGGTCACCAGCCAGTTATGAGCAGTTTGGACTGAAATTTGGTGATGGGCTATTGCCTCCAGGGATCTCTAAGTCTGAAAGATGTATGGCTAAGCTGATCACAGATGAAGAAACTCAAGTCCAGCCAAGTTAAGGCTTGAGCCTCATTCACGAGAAGTAAGAGGTAGGATAGGAAAAATCAGCTGTAGAGTGAAAACCACTCCAGTGCCCTACCACTGCTCAAGAAAAACAAAACTAACATGAACTTCATGGAGGAAAAAAACATCTCACCACAATTGGCCCATACACACCCCCATAAGAGTACACCTAAGGACACTAAGTGCTTTGACAACACATCCTATTTGTTCTACACAAAATCAGTAATAAGCTTTCCATTATTTCCACTTTTGAAAACAGCATCTCACAACTGAACCATGTTTTCCAGTTTACAAAAGTATTTTTCACATGTATTCTCTCATGAAATCCCTGCAGTAACCTTATGGGGTAGAAATTAACATAAATCCAGGATTAGCAGGCACTTCATGAATTTAACAACAGCTTCTGGGGGGGGGGGGGGGGGGGGGCCCCT